AGAGGATGCTGTTGTCCTCTGGTCATCCCAGAATGTGGGACAGCTTCACAGGGAGGAGAATTAAAGAGCTGCGAACACCATCTCCCTCACCAGCACCTAGCTATCCCTGAACGTAAGACCCCCCCCACCTCATGAAACTACAAGATGTAGAAACGGCCACCTTGTATCAGTTACAGTGCAGTGGACATCCCAAGCTGAGACACCGCTCTGCCCCCAAGAGACAATCAGGGTCTCCTAGACTCAACCAAACCTCTGTCTATCCGAAGTATACCCCATCCACTTCAAGGCTCGAAAAACCAGGCCTGCGCTAGAGACACAGACAAGAGAAAATTCATATAGATTTTAGGTAGAGGATAGGAGGTGAGCTTTGCAGTCACACAGACTGAGGTCATCATTCCGACCCTCAGCTTCCTCATCGGAAAAACGAGGGTGATCGCGATGCTGTTGTGTGGGAAATATTTGGCACATGGGTGTGGCTTCCACTGATGACTCAGCCTTCTCGCCATCTTTTCTAAAGACATTTACATTGCTGCTCCTCAAAGGAGGATGAAGCAAACCAGATCAAGTATTGTAGAGGTCTTTACTCCAAAGAAAGAGTTACAAAAACTAACCAACATGGGGTGGGGGGCTGGAGAGATGGCTCAGAGGTTAAGAGCACTGACTGTTCTTCCAGAGGTCTTGAGTTCAATTCCCAGCAACCACATGGTGGCTGACAACCATCTACAATTCAATCTGGTGTATATGTAATAAATAAATAAATCAAAAAAAAAACCTAACCAACATGGGAAGCCCATGTCCGTCCTCTAATTAGTAAAGTCCATTGCAGATACAGTTTGAGGATCCCTAATCCAAAAAGCCAAAACAGTTCAAAATCTGAACCTTTCTGATCACCTGTATAACACCACAGGTAGAAAATTTCTACACTTAGCCTCACATGACAGATCATACACTAAAAAAAAATAAAAAAAAAACCAAAAAAACAAAAAAAAAACAAAGCCCAAAAAAACAGCAGCATGCAAAAACCATTGTAGGAAAAGTCCTAGAGACTTTGTATATGAGGTGTATATAAAACATAAGTGAAGATAGATTTGGGTCCCCTCCCTCAGATCTCTCATTATACATACACCTATATTCCACAGTCTGAAATTCCAGCTACTTCTGGTCCCAAGCATTTTAGATAAGGGATGCTGAGCCTATCGTGTTTTTTTGGCTTCATCCTTTGGTGTTTGTCAGATGCCCTCATCTCTTGCCCAGGGACCAGATAGCTCAGGGCTCCTTTTATGGAAGCCAGACTGAGTTGAGTAGCTGCCAGTCTTCTTCCCCCAAAGAGAAAGAGCAGAGATAGGCTGCTAGATCTTGCTGGTGCTGAAGTTCAGAAGGCCGTCCACAGCGTCTAATTCTCCATAAGCAGCTTAATTTTATCTCTCCCGACACCTCCTCGTGCCTATGGGAGCCAAGCAGCTGGTAGAGGATGACTGTCCGAGAGACTGTGCCCATCTCTGTCTTCTTTTGCCCTGTCTCATGAGCGCTGTACCTTGAGCTCTGTTTCTTAGTACTTTTGCCAGCCTGCGTTGTTTTGATAGTTCGCCTCTTTGAAAGAACATCCCATGCTGAGAGATCTAGGAGCAATAGGAAACAGAGAAACACCCAGATGAGCAAAGGAAGCCAAGCTGGACCTGGTAGGTAAGGAATATTGCCAAGATCCATGCAGGCTAGATGTACTCTCCAGACGAGTCAGAGTTGCTGCTTCTCTCTCCGTAGCCATCTTCCTTGTCTGATTCAAATACTTCCCAGAACCAAGTGTGGATGTTGGGCTCATGAATCTGGACCAAGGTGTCAAGTCTAAAAGCCTTCTCATGCAAGGAAGCTTTGGGTGAGGGGTGGGATACATAGTAGGGAGAGAGTGTAGTGGCAGAGAGTGTACGTCCTGCCTGTGAATGTGTCCACTGCGCAGCTGCTAGCACCAGAAGCATTGCCAGAGGTTTTGAAATTTGTTTTCCAAGAAAAAGCAAAAATCTAATGGTGTGTGTGTGTGTTTGTGTGTGTGTTGTGTGATGTGCAACATTTCTAACTTTTGACACATAGAGAAGTCTTATTGTAAAATGGTAGGGAAGAGGGGATCCTTAGACCATTGACTAAACCATTCTGGTCTCTTTATTGAATAGTTTAACATTTCTGGCAAAATGATGCTTTCAGAGGCCTTGAATATCAGTATTTAGAACAAATTGTTTACCAGTTATTCAAAAAATAAAATACCCAAGCATAGTGGCACATGCCTTTAATCCCAACACTCAGGAGGTAGAGGAAGGTGGATCTCTGTGAGTTCAAAGCCAGCCTCATCTATGTAGAGAGCTCTAGGGCAGCCAGAACTACATAGTGAGACCCTGTCTCCCCCCAAAAACTTCATTCATTAACTAACCAAAAAATTAAAAATTAAATAAAAACTTGTATGTGAAAGATCCATTTCTGACCTGATTGCTAGGCTGTTATTCTGTTCATTGCAGCCTCCTTCAATTGTCCCCCACCTAGAATGACCTTGACCACAATTCAATACAGAAATCACAGGAAATTGGGGGGGGTTACTGAAGGGATGGGCAGATGGGCGGGGTAGACAAGGCATTCATAAAGAAGCAGCCGAGCCCTCTAGAGACCTGGTTATCATAATGCCTCCCAGCATGCTCCGGAAACTCTCATGACCTTCAGCGAGGCCCTCAGCCTCTGCTTTGGTCTCTTCCAGCCGTAACTGCAATGGCTCTGCCCATCTGCCCAGGTTACAGTGAGAATAACAGGGGGTCCGGAAAGCACTCTGGAAAACAAAGAGCATTCTAGCAACCGTGAGCTTTTTTTTTCTACTCTGAGGCAGGAGGACATCTGTGTGGACCCTAGGGACCTTGCTGTTATTAGCCAGATTAAACAGACAGTTCTTCTGCTTGTCATGGCCACAGCTGCCTGCCAGCACCTGGGGTGCGCAGGGGACTGCAAGGGAGGTGGACTTACAGCAGGAGAGGGCAGGTTGGCACCCAGGGCCAGCTCTACCATCACCAATGCCAGTCCCGGTGAACTATGGTGCATATAGATACTCCTGAAGCAAGCGGGTCTGTTCTGACTCCTGGATCATTCACCACCAAAGGGGCTAGCTCTGGGCCTGCCTTGAGAGTTGTTTAAATTTTCAACCTTTTTACTCTTTGGTTTCTTTCCCTCTCATTCAGGAAGGAATGAGAAATGATTTCACTGTAGTTTCAAGGGCACGACCAGTCAGTCTGGGTTATAAGGGAAATGCTCAGGACCCAGGTTTGCTTGACTTAGGAGCTCTGCATTCTGAAACTTGCCTTTGTCAGTCATAACATCTGCTCAACCAGTGTTTCACCCACTTCCTGTGTTGTTCTGTGAAGGAGGGGACACAGAGCTATGACCATAGCGGAAAAGGTCCCTTGTGGGTAGGAAAGCCGAACCCAAATTGGAGCTGCCTGCGAGGAGACACCCCTAATGTTGCATATGAAGTTGTGTGTCCGAATAAAAGATAAGCATAAGTAACGAAGGGAGAAATTGAAGAGATGACATTTGTGTTAGCACAGATTACATACATGGCAAACAAGGAAACTAACCAATCTCCTCAAGTCACAGACTGAGGTGAGTGGGAGGAAGGAATTGTATAGGGGACTGTGAGAAGCAATCTGGGATTGCAGGGTCCTGATGAGGGTGCAGGAGTCCCAGATGGGCCTTCCTGAGGAGGGTGAGACTCAGGGCAGGCCTAGCTGAGGAGGGTGAGAGGATCAGGGCAGGCCTCCCTGAGGAGGGTGAGAGGGTCAGGGCAGGCCTTCCTGAGGAGATGCCATTTGAGCTGAGAGTCCAGCCTTCCTGAAAAGGGGTAGAGAAAGGGTTCAGAGGGTCAACCATAGGGTGCCTGAGAAACAACAGGTGACCAGTGGGGTTGGAGGGTAATAGATAAATGTAGCAGGCTTTCTTGGACCCCAAAATCATGACATGGAGACTTATTACTAATTATGAATGCTCAGCCTTAGCTTTGGACTTGCAGCTTGCTTTTTTTTCTCTTGAGTTAACCCACTTCTATCGATCTCTGTGCTGCCCTGAGGGTGGTTTACCTCATCTGTGTACCGCCCATCCTGCTTTCTTGCTTCCTCTGTGTCTGGCTAGCTGAACCCCAGCTGACTGGCTGCCCTCCAGCCCTGCCTGTCCCTCTTCTCCCTAACTATTGGCCATTCAGCTTTTTTATTAGACCAGTCAGGTGTCTTAGACAAGCAAGGTGGAAAAAAAAACAATACATCTTTACAAAGTTAAACAAATGTAGCATAAACAAAAGCAGTACACCTTTCTATAGTTAAACAATTGTTTACAATGCACACAAATGTAACACATCTTTACTTAGTTAAATATTCTATTCCACAACAGATGAAGGTATGAGGTTACAATAAAGACCAGGAAGGTGTTTGTGCATGTGTGTGCCTACACATGGACACATTTCTTCCCTGGGAGGATGACCTGTAACTTCCATCAGATTTGCAATTAAATCGGTGACCCAAACAAGCTCCAAGGAATTCTCTGAATCAAAAACTGCCCTAACTCTGTCTACTAAAGCCTTACAACAATTGTACCAAATGATTTTTTTCCTCTTTGTGATTCCTGGAAGCCCTGAATTCTAAAACAAGTGAGAGAGTGGGGGGGGGAGAGAAAATGCAGTGTTGGGCTCCACTCCAAGCCTTTGTCCGAGGCTGCAGGTGTAAGATACGTGTAGGTAAAAGGCCAGGTGCTTATTCGAGGCAAGATGCAGGCGGCCGTAGAGTGTGTCGCACAGCATGCGTGGTGATGGGAGGAAAGTGAGGAGGGTCTAGGAAGTCCCTGGAAGCAGCTTCTCTTTCCCTGAGCTGCAGCAGAAACTCAAGGCCACGTGGATGAGGGATGGCTACTTTCCAGCAGTCCCAGCGGGTACAGCCAGCCCTTGCTCCACTAGCAATGACAGGAGGCCTCTCTTCTGCCTGCAGCCTCCTCAATGCCAACAAGATCAACTGCCTGCGGGTGAACACCTTCCAGGACCTGCAGAACCTCAACCTGCTCTCTCTGTACGACAACAAGTTGCAGACTGTCAGCAAGGGGCTCTTCGCTCCTCTACAATCCATCCAGACGCTGTGAGTACCCTGCCCCGGCAGCTGCAGAACCCTACCACCAAAAGTGGTGGGCTGGGGACCCCGTGAAAGGGTTTCTAGCTCCTGCAACAGGGGTGGGAGAGGAAGCTCAAAGCACTTAACGGTGCTGAGTATTCCGGTGGGGCCTGGTCATGCTGAGTGTTTATCTCACTTTCAAACATGCAGCCTCACAACAACCCAGGAGAATGCCACTGTCACCCCCAGATTCTATGTGAGGAATCCAAGGCCCTGAAGGAGTGTGGTGCTTACCCAAGGTCACAGCTAGTATGAAGCAGGACTTGAATCCCAGTAAAACCTTGTGACTGTGCTGGTAACCACAGCACCCATGGTACTGTTCTAAGCAGTCTCCATATCCTTCCTGTAGCTTCTGGCATCCTGCAAAGCCAAGCCTCTGTCTGATACAGGCTTCCTGGGGATACCTGACATGCACACACGCACACACAGGCGCGCGCGCACACACACACACAGCCCTCAGCTCCCAAGTATTGCTGGTGTGTGTAAATACTGCAGGTAAACAGATGACATGAGTACACATCTCAGTCTGTGGTCTTGACATTTCCAACCTCAGATTTCAGTCCCTGTTCCAGGCCCGCCATGAGCCTGGGGGTCTCCTGGAGACCCTGGAAGTCATCTGGCACTTATTTCCTAGTAGTGAGAGGCAAGAACCAAGATAGAACGAGAACAGCTGCTTGTTATTGAATGCCGACCACGTGTGAAGCCCCATGCTTAGTGCTGTGGGGTTTTTCTTGCTGTTCAGAGGAGGCGATGCCTACGGCACCCCCGTGATGATAAGGAGAATAACAACAATACGATCTACTATATATGGAACACCCACCATACACCAGTCGCTGTGCTAGCTGCCTTATGCGCCTGGTGTCACCAAGCTTGGAGAAATAAAATGCATGCTACTTTAAATGTAAACTCTAAAGCTCTCTCGCCTTGCATTGCCCCATCAGAGCCGCCATGGGTGGAGTGGAGACAGTCAGCAGTAGGTCCTGCCCCGAGAGGGGAGAGCTGGGAGGACGATTGCCCAGACCAGATGTTGGCTGCATCTGTGCTGCCTTTGGCAGACAGCTAGCTAGCCGCAGACCCCTTCTTTGAATTCTCTCTGTGAGCAGCACCCCCTCCAGGCCTCCTGGGGCAGCAGAGAAAGGGCCTCGACACCAGTTTGCTGGCAGCACCAGTTTGCTAGAGCCCAGCACGAGGCAGGTGATGGTGAAGCAAGGTACCTCAGGTCACTCCGGATTAACAGCCCTGTCCCTCTTTCAGCCACTTAGCTCAAAACCCATTTGTTTGCGACTGCCACTTGAAGTGGCTGGCTGACTACCTTCAGGACAACCCCATTGAGACAAGCGGCGCCCGCTGCAGCAGCCCACGCCGGCTGGCCAACAAGCGCATCAGCCAGATCAAAAGCAAGAAGTTCCGCTGCTCAGGTAATCAGGTTACTGGAGTGGGGGCCCCACTTTCTGACTCTGAAATACAGCAGCCCCAGAGAGGCCAATAATCCAATCTGGAGGACAGCGAGCGCTGTAATGGCTCCTGGGGAGCATCTTTGCAAATTAAATTGGGGAAATTCAGTTAGCCCTCCAGAAAACCAATTACCTTATGGATTTAAAATAAAACACACTCACACAATAAAAGCATGGGGGAGGAGTGGGCAGCTTGGGAGAAACAGAACCCAGGCGCAGCCACTCCTCCCCGAGCTTGGTGGAAGCTGGAGTCTGGGCAGCCTTCACACACGTGCGCTAGAGAGCAGGCCAAGATTTATTCCGTAGTCTCTGAAGCAGATTCCCCACATGGCACAGCAATGCACAGCCCAGCCCGGCCTGCGGCCAGGCTTTAGTGCAGCGCTCAACCATAATGGGTTGGGTTACAGGTTTCACAAACACCTTCCCTATCTCCTTGAAGCAGATGGCTGCTCTCTGACGACATGGGGAACAGCAGGCTGTGGGAAGAGGCAAAGTCTGTTCTCCCATGCCCAGCTCTGTCTAGAGACTGTCTTCCTCCCACCTCCACCCGGGAAAGGACATGGAGACAAAGGGCAAGAGAATTCACAGCCCACCTTGGAAAGAAGGGCAGTCTCCTTGACCAGTGGCTGCATGAGCAAGCAGTTAGACATCATTATCATTTTTCTCTTTTTGTACTGATAAAGATCAGAGCTGTGCTCTGCTGGCCATGGCTGATAAATCAACAGCAGGAGGTCCTGAGATAGGCTAAGCCAACCCTGATAGTGTGTGTCTACGCAAGAACTGTGCTCCCACTCATATGAGAGAGTGCTCAGCCAGTGTGTTCTCCCAGGAACAATGCCAACATGGGGTCTGGCCAAAGGCAGACCAGCAGGAAGATTTTTGGCTCCTTGTACCATGTTCTTTGTGCTTTAAGTCGAATTCTATCGTTTGTGTCCCTGGAGTGATAAGCTTTAGCCTTTTATCTTATTTTGTTTGCAGAGGTAAATACTTGGAGAGGGTCTAGAGAGATGCGGAGACTTTGTGGCAGTAGGAGAACTCGTAGTCTAGTACCCAGCATAGTGACTAGAGAGATGACTTACTATGAGGAACACTATGCTGAGTGATCCTAGTTTGATTTGTCTGTTCTAGTAGCTACTTGAGTCAGCTGTGGGCTCCAAGGTGAAGGGCCACCCGTGCATCATAGTCACAGCCAGTAAGTAGGGTCAGGACCAGGCTCCACGTCGATGTCTCCTTGACACTATTAATATCTAGGAGAAAGGCGGTTCAACTGCTTAAGCTGCTTACTTCCTAGTTTCTTGGATCCACTTATAACCCTCAAACTTTTTCCTTCAATTCCTTCCTAAGCCTGCTAACATATCTGGGTAGAAAGTCTCCCTCCAACACCAAGTGTCATCTATAGCAGACCAGTCCTTCTCAAGACTCTCCTTGTGACTATCTCCAGCATTTATCCCCTCTTTTGTCTTTGCCTACTCAAGTCTGAGTTAGTTAGTTTGGCCAGCTAGTGGTTCCCACGGGAAGGATCCATGAAGTCAGAGGAGGACAGGAAGCCAGCTGCCATCCTTGACCCTCAGTCTTGTCTACACCCGGAACCTCAAAGTGAGTCTAAACCCTGGCTGGTGGTCCAGGGATATAGTTGACACTGGATCCAGTGGCTAGTACCCTATAGTATTTTGGTAATGGCTGTGACCTGGCATTGACTGAGGCTGGGACATGCAGCAAGGTATGGGTGATACATACAGAAAGAACAGAGTAGGGAACAAGAAATAGACAGTGGATAGGAAGCAATAAAGCTAGTTTTGAATCTAGTGCCAGTGTCTACCTGTCTACCTCGGTGTTTACAGGATCCCAACTTCCTATGTGGGACAAGAAAAAAGAAACAGGGAGGAGAGGACAGAACTCTTGAGCTGGCTTTGTCTAAAATATGAAGTAGAGAGCCTATTCCTGTAGGTTGTCTTGCTCAGAGTTCAAATAGCTTGACTTAGAGCATTTGGTATGCTTTTATGTAACTGTGGGGGAGAAGCAGCGAGATTACCACTGAGCTCCAAAAGCCTGGGCTTTGAGAAACACCAGGACCCATACCTACCCTCGCCTTGGGGAAGACAGAACCCATAGCCCTAAAGATTTGTGTTTCCATGAAGTCCAGAAAGGGGAGGGGGTGAGGGATGGCAGATGACACGAACTCGAACTGACAGATAATAACTCTGCATTTTACTTTCCCCTAAAAGCAGCCCCCTTTGAAAAGACAGCTGATGTGATTAGGAGCCAATTTGAGGGCTGCTTCTACAACATGCACAGCCTCTCCCTGGATAGGGCGTCTGGCTTCCCAGCTGCGTTGCTCTGCCACTATCAGCTGTATCCACCACCCTGGACCGAGATCAGTTTAGGGATGAATGCTGCCCGCCAGGAATGATCTAACTATCAGATTAAGTCCTTCAGCACAGGTCCCACCCCCGGGGAGCACTTGGCAGCTGAAGGACGGACACTGCCTGTCTTCTATCTGGCCCTTTGTTTAAGAAGAAGCCATTCTTATGGAAAGGACAGGACTCTTTGGGTACAGCTCAAGGACACTTTAGAGACCTCAGAGTTCATCCAGTCCCCTCTAGAGGCAAAGTTGAGAACCACAGCAGAAACATCCCAGATTCAGGCTGTCACTGTCTATCCATGACCTGAAATACTGTGGTGATTTTAGCATACTAGGAAGATTCCAGATCGCTTGCCTTTGGGACCCTCAATGTCTTTTTAGGAAAGCAAAGCAAAGAGAAAGCCCAGAAGGAACTCTATAAATTACATTTTATTTTATTTGGGGGAAGGGAAAAGGGAGAGAGAGAGACAGAGACAGAGACAGAGAGACAGAGAGAGAGAGAGAGAGAGAGAGAGAGAGAGAGAGAGAGAGAGAGAGAGAGAGAGAGAGAGAGAGAAGAGCACAGCATGAAACAGCAGAAGTATGGAGATGAGAGGAACTTTCAGGAGTCTGTTCTTCCACTATTTGGAGCTTGGGCTTGGTAGCAAATGCCTGGTGGCCCATCTTACCAGTCATACAAGGAGGTTCTAAAATTTGTGAAATGTGCCCTGCCCATACTGAGGTCCTGATCAAACTCACGGGAGAAATCTTAGAATCAGGATGTTCAAGATCTCTGCAGCTCCAGGTGTCAACCTGCAGTAGAGCCCACATTGCCTTTATTAGTTGCAGTCTGTAAGATTGGGATGGGGAAAGAGGTGAATGGGGCTAGGCAAAGGCATGGGTGTACACTGTCTAACTGGATCATTATTCCAGAAAACAACCACAGACTGCTGAGATACTGGGAATGAGAACATCCTGTCAAAGAGCCAGTCCCCAAAGCACATGGTAGAGGAGAGTGGACTGTTCCTTCTGTCAGAGATCAAGTGTCAAGCAGGGATGGTCAGTCACATGGCTATGGCTCTGTTTCCTTGAGAGTGCACAACTCCAGTCTGATGCCAAGTAGAAAGAAGTCTGGTTTATGGACGGTAGGGTATACAGATGGGGTCCATGACACACAAAACCATCAGACTGGGTCTACCTCATCCTCTCCCAGGATTCCCAGCCAGAGAAGGAATGTAGAGATCAAAAGGACCCTAAAGTTAGATATTTTACCCTCCAGCTAATGACCTGGTTCCTTGTGTTACTCTGACAAAGGCCCCTCATCAGAAGCCAGCCTCTAACCACTGTCCATGCAATAGCACTAGCTCTGTGTAAGTGTTCGCAGACCGTGGTGACTGTAGGTGTCTCATTCCCAAACCTAAGGCCCCACTGAGTCTCCCTTCTTTGTCCAGCTGAAAGTAGGTGGTTTTAATTCTACATTCTTCCTCTACTACACCTCAGGCCATCTGGGGTGAATTGGCCCAAGAGACCCAGGGACCCTGCAAGGTACTCGGGAGCCCTCTGATGTTGTGGGATGTTAAAGGGAGCTTTTGCCTGAAGAGGAGATTATGCTGGGCTAGACCAATGAGAACTATGGAAAACCTCTTTTATTAAAGGGCATAGACTGCCACTAGGCCCCTCAGCTGTGGGGTCAGCTCTAAGTGTGAGAAGATGCATTGTTGACTTTCATGTCACGTCAGATCCCACGGTGGGATGGGGCAGCATGTAACTGGTGTGTCATCTGCCAGGATGGCTGTGAGTGTCTGATGGCTTCCCACCTGTCTTTCTGTCCTACTGAGTCTCCCTGGGGTGGGGCGCAGGGGGTGGGGCCCCTGTCTTTGGCAGGATCCAGTGGACCACACTACTGACACTAATCACGCTCGGTGGGGGCCTGCTCTGGCTCCCGCTTCTCCACGCTGCTTCCTCTGAGCTCCTGTCCTCTCTCTGGCGCTGCTTCCTGACCTTGACTCTGACCAGTTGCCGCGGGGCTTTCCTTTGTGCTTGATCTAACCATGTGGTGGAACGATGGAAACGGAACATGGTTCTGTCAAGCACCGCGGAAAGCACCGTTCTCTCCTGCAGCTTGGCTCGCCGCCATCGCCGCCACCGCCGCTGGACTCTTCTCTGCTCTGGATCACCACGCCTGCCAGATCCGCCTCTCCCAGTCTCAGTTCACAGAGGGATTGGGGGTGGGAGATCCTGAAGGAGTCAGGGACAGAGGTTTAGAAAAACCCACTGGGGCCACACACTAAGAGTATCCACAAATGGAGTAACTGTGCCCCAAGTCTGATTCTCATGTGACCCAGGAGTGACAGCTAGGTCCCGACTTCCCATTTGAAGAAGACAAGTATACCTAAGGCGTGGGCCCCGTTGTTTCGTGGGGGAGTCCCAGCACAAGGCCACCGAGTGGTAGCTAATGCAAAGAGTGAGTCATCCTGCTCATGACTTTCACGGGCACCTCTCTTGGCATGCCCTTCATTTAAAATGAATGCAGGCATGAGAACAGATAGAACAGACATGGGTCAGAGACCTTGAACTTGAACTGGGCCTCCTTCTGACCCCCGTTCTCACTCCTCGTGAGTACTTGGTGAAACCTGATGCCCAACCTGTTTTCTTAACCTTGGACCACTTTTAACATGGAAGTGTGGAGCTCTCCGTCTGGTGCCGTTTCAGAGGCCAGGAGAGGTCTGCGCAAACAGTGCCTGTCTCCGAACACAGAGGGAGGGGTCTTGGCACCTTCTCTTTAATTTGTTTCTTGATAAATCCTGGGCCTGGTGTAACCAGAAGACTTTGTTGTGGTTCTATCCTAGAGTGTGTGTCTTACTGCATGAGTAAGAACTAACGTGAAAACAAACCCTTACTTAACAGTAGGAGCCGAATTCTGTGCACCAACCAAGTTGTGTGTCCCTAGCTATCTCCTCTCTGATTGTAACTCAGAGACGGGCCCAGCCACTGACGAGTAATGGATATCCTACTGGTCTCTCTGAACTTTTGAACATATATAGAGTTCTTACTATTGGTCAGGTTCTGAATGCTTAACATCATCACCCTAAATGCAATAACACTTTAGATCCCCTTTTACAGATGAGAATGTTGAGGCAGGATATTAACTAACTGGCCCTGGGATAATCTAGCTCCCAATTGGCTGCACTTTGCCTCGGTGCTATCAAGCCCTTCCTCTTCTGGACACTTTGCTTTGAGTGGAAAATTTTTGGAAACTTTGACTTGAATTGATAGGGAGTTGAAGATGTTTTAATCATTCTCTATCCAGCTTACATTTGTTATTAGAAATAGCTTGAGTAAAAAGGGAAGAAAGTGTTGTTCAAGTGGCTCTTCTTCTACAACAGGAGCATACAATATGTCCTGGGTATAAGCATCCGTAATAACGCCCTTTCTCAGCATCTCCATGATGCTATGGCAGTAGGCATGTGGCTATACCATGGGTCTCTCCCTCTACTTTCAGGAAGGTGACTGAGCTACGGGGATAGCTTTATGCCCAAATGATATCCAAAGTCATTCTAAAACAGCTGGTGTTTTTCAACCACAGGTGTCTAGTTCTCCCTGCCTGGCCTAGGAATGGATGTCTGTGTGTGTGCAATGTCCTCGATTCCATTCACCACTCATGACTTGTCCCTGTGCTTGTCCGTATCCCTTTCTTTTCAAGCTGATGAGCCCTGACAGGTCTTTGAACACCCACACCCCAGTTCCTCTTTCTGAGGTTCTTCCTCTCTTCCCGCCCATCTTGAGCACGCTGGGATAGAGGAAGAGAACTCTGGACACATACACTGGCTTCCCCCGCTGACCAGATAATGAGGTACTTTAGATGCCTCACACTCCCCTCCCAGACACAGATATAGAACATGGGTGTATAAAAATAAATAAATAAATAAATAAAAATTTGCTGTCTGTCTTCACCTTTCACCCAACCTCTGTCTATTAAAGTTTGTCTGTGATTGTGGACCACGCGTTGTTGTTCTGAGATGTCTGCAAGTGGGGAAGAGGCCTACTAGGGCAGAGGCAGGCAAAAGCTAGGTGATGTCAGCTCCTCTGAGGCCCGCTCCAGCTGGGGCTGAACTTTATGGCCTGTCTTCAAATCCTGCAAGATCCCTCCCACCTGAGCTCACCCCAAAAGGAGGCGCTGCAACCTATTTCAGTTGGTTCTCTCCTCTGAAGTATTTCTGGCAGTGACAAATACGCATTGAGATTGAAATTGACTTTTAAAGCTCTGGAAAAGTTAAAAATACTTTTGGGTAGTTATGAGCATTAGGCATAACAAATGGCTCCGAGGAACCCTGGGTAGCTTGCGTAATGAAATATGAAGTGACGGAGGTGGCATTTCGTGCTGGCTCTGACTGGGAAATGAACTTTTTCGGTTATGTACATACGCTGTTATTAACATTTCTGGTTCCCACTCATATAAAATATCACTTTCCGACCCCCTCGTTATTACAAACCAGGGCAATAACGAAAACAGCAGGGGGAAAAATGCTGGAGAGAACACATTAGTCCGTCGAATCTAATTGCAAAATCATTTCATTAAGATGGGTCAGCAGCTCCATTGCAGAGGTCTGCCAGTTATAACCTAACGATACTACTGAGAGCGATTCCTGCTAACTACAGACTGCTCTCACCTTGATTAAAACGAAAATGCATTTAATAGGCGGCCGTCCCCAGCCAGAGCACGACTGCCGGCTCACAGTAAAGTGCAAACTGGGCTCCCTCCTGTCTTTCTGCCTTTGATCAGTAGTCAGGGGTCCTCTGTTTCTCAAGTATCCCATTTCAGACATGTTCCGATGAAAACATAACCATGCACATGCAAAATGCCCCCCTATAACATCGCCATGTAGTTCCACTGACAAGACCAGAATGGGTTTTCATCTGGCAAGAGTTGCAAAAATTACCTCACACTCTGATATATCTAAAGAGAAATGCTGCAGGCTCAGGACTTAGTCAGTGGGTTGATGCGTGCAGGCCAGGGAAAAGATTCCTGTAAAACATTGGACCAGGAAGCTGATTAAAGATGTGAGATGTACGCATAGGTTCTGTTTATACAAGGCTAGGAGGTACAGAGGGAGATGAGGGAGGTAGGTGGGAAGGCAGTAGAGGGAACGAAAGGGATACATCCAGACTTCTGACTCCACGTTTCAGCTGGACAGTGTCACTAGAGAATGAGAGGCCCACCAATTTTGTTCCCGACCAGCAGTGACCACAGGGAGATAAATGGGAACAGAGCACGCGAGAGCAGGGGAGAGAGGCAGGCATTGTTGCCTCCTTGTCAGAGCTCACTGGAGGAGAAACCCATTCAGTCTGCCTCCACCACATCAGACTTCGTGTTTGTTGTGAGAGACGTAAGGATACAGGTTCCATCACAAGCTACACTAAAACCTACCTAGCATTAGCCTTAGTCATGTGGGTCTCTGAAAGGTAGCCCTAGTCCATTCGCCATGCACCGAGAACCCATAGAGCTTAGGGTCTTCATCTACAAAGCGAAGTTCTAACCTCGGGGGTTAAAAGGAACCACCCATTTGAGGTTTGGAGAAAAGCAGCTGGCTGGCTGCTGGTTCAAGTGCAGTTAACTGTCAGCTGCTACCATCAGCTCCCGTGAAGTTTCTATAGCCTCCAACAACCAGATGTTCTGTCAAGATCTAGGAAGCATGGGAGTAGAGTCGCACATGTCCATACTGTGCTTGCCTTTTCCTGGAGACTCTGCCTCTGGTATAACTCTCATCTTCACACAAACCCCTGGAGAAATAGGAGCTAGGAAGTTGCAAAGCCTGACCAAATGCACTGCTCCAACATAGGCACCTCTCTCACTCTGTGTCGCCATGCTAATGCTTCCAGCCATTCACCAAACGCATAGTGTTCATGTACTCAGTCACTTCAGAAACACACACAGGATCCTCAGGGGCTGGTGGCATTCCACTCATGCCTTAGATGAACATGAACTGAGCTCACATTTTTATACCTAGCAATGCGCAAATGAAATGTGGGTGTGAGAGCATATATAAGCCCCAGCACAACACCCTCATGTCAGGAGAGCCGCATGTCCCTCCTCATTGCGACTAGCATAATTCATGTGCTCACAGAGGTCTGTCTGACTGCCCCCAAGGGCATGTCTCAGAGACATCAGTCTGTCAGGCCTGTTGCCATCAGCAAATGACCTTGAAATAAATGAAATTTTGAAAAAAATAAATCTTAGCTCCAACTTCTAGCTCATGGGAACTGGCCTTTAACTGGCATTAACAAGAACGTCCTCTATGTGGAAGTCAGGTCTGACCCTGGGTGCATTTTGTTTTTCACTGTGTTTGAGAATTGGATTCATTGCCCATATATTTTAAATAGCTGGCTTCTCTTAACACAACAAAACAAAGAAATCTCAGACAGCTAGCTATAAGCCAAATTCTCAAAGCATCAGAGCTATAGGCTCCGGATACCCTAGTGCTCCATCCTCATCAGAGTCAGGGAAGATGCTGGTTTGAGTACCAAATGAGTGTCTGGCCTCCTTCACTCATTGCCTGCAATGCCAGGAAGACCTCTTCTCAGACCTTAGCCCTGCCCTCCATTAGTCCCTACAAAGATCCAATCTTAGTCTCCAGTTCATAGATGGTAAGCATTGTGGAACCAGGAATCTCCTACAACTGTAGGCTGGATTCTGTGTAGGTACCTTGTGGTATTTCTCTGACAGCATCTGTAACATTAATCGACTTCTCAAAATGTCCATGACCCATAAATGACTAAGAGCCCACAGATCTGAAGCCTGGCTTCTTGGAAGACAGAAAGTGATGAGAAAGATCATGTAGGAAACAACAAAAATGAAGGGCTTGGAGAGTGCCAGCAAAATGGCCAAACAGCTGTCAGTACTGTCTGCTACTTGATACCCTACCATATAAGCAGTTTCTCCCAAGCCTGCATACACACACACACACACACACACACACACACACACACACACACACACACACACACCCCTCTGCCTCCTAATTCACCCTTTTACCTCATTCCCCACCTCACCTCCCCACAACTTTAGACCTTGTGCCGGGAAACCCAATGATGATGACAAACCCCTCTTTGGCCCCACATAGGCTCCGAGGATTATCGCAACCGATTCGGCAGTGAGTGTTTCATGGACCTCGTGTGCCCTGAGAAGTGTCGCTGCGAGGGCACCATTGTGGACTGCTCCAACCAGAAGCTGGCCCGCATCCCGAACCACCTCCCTGAATATACCACTGACCTGTAAGTCCCGCCCCTGCCTATATCTCTTCACACTTACCTAGTCACTACTTGGCTGAGAAAGTCACCCAGGCATGCCTGGGCAGGTTGCTTACAAGAGAAGACCACTCATTGGTTCTACGAATGCTTTCTGAATGCTCACTATAAAGTAGGCGCTGCTCTAGGCTTACCTTTCTACAATGAACAAAGAAAATGACGCCTCCTGGCCCCTAGAAACGTACCCTATCACCAGAAAAAAAATAGACATTAAATAAAAATCAATACTAGGCAAAAAATACAACAAAGATGGTTAAATGTTTCTGAGTTATCTAATAGCCACTCCAGAAAGGGACATTGCTTTATCCAAAACTGGGCATGGCTGTGAGGGCAGTCTGACACCCCAGTGATCACCAGGGTTAATTCTGCCAGTCTGGCCAGCTAGGTGGGTGTCCCCTCCCTCCTTCACTGCTCCATGTGTATACCCCCAGATGTGGCACACTTGGCTAGAGAGGACGACCTTCCCCGATAGAGCCTCCAAACAGTCTCTCCAAGTCTAAAAAGGGACAAACTAAAACTTGAAGCTTGATAGAGGATAAAAGATGGCCTGTGGGGCTAAAGAGACCTGACATTAACCCCACCTCTGTTCCCTCCAGCCTCGCTGAGACTGGCCAAGCTGTCTCTCAGACCTGAAGCCCAGTTTCCCAGTGAGGGAAGGTTGCGGGCATAATGTCTTCCTCTGCGCTTTAGAAGGTCTAGGAGACACAAGCATACCGTTGCTTCTGACTTTGGGCACAGAGTGAGCGCTGGGTAGACAGTGGCCGACTTGTGACTATTGTTGCTGTCTTTGACTTCTCCAGTCCTTGGAGGGCACAGCAAGACTCTGAGCATGGAGATGCTGGGTGCAGGGACCCTGAGCCCCTTTGGAAGACGGAAGTGGTCAGGAAGAGATGAGCAACTTGGGCTCAGGAGACCCTGAGGAAACTTCCCTGGGGGTTCAGGTTACCATTGGCACCCCCCCATAAAATGAACGCGGTGTTAGTTACTTGATTGGGTGTTTAAAGAACAATGTGTGTCTATGAGAGTATGTAAGAAGCCAACATCCCATGAAGGAGGCATGGGAGGAGGGGTCAGACGTAGTGTCTCTCTGCCCTGTCCTATCCACTGCTCCCTGCCGAGCCCCTCACCTCATACTGAAGTTTCTCATGATCCCCTTGAACTTTACTGAATGTGAGGTTTGGGCAGAGCTCAGCCAAACCACGTGAGGAAGAGTGGCAGGCGAGTAGCAAAGGCAGGCCTCAACCCCAGCTAAGCCCTGCTGCTTCTGCCCTCCCGTATAGGCGGCTGAATGACAATGAAATCTCTGTCCTGGAAGCCACTGGGATCTTCAAGAAGTTGCCCAACCTGCGAAAAATGTAAGTCATGTTGGGGGACACGGCAGCCACCTCAGCTTCCTGACCCCTAACCCTTCGCTCCCACCCCTGAACTTCCTCCTGTCCCCTGCTGTGTCCTGGACTGGACCAGGGACACAACATGGACAAACATGAAGCTTGGCTGTCAATTGAGTTGTCAGGTATCAGGTGGATTGCATGCTCCACACCTCCTGGACTCCCTTCCGTTGTCCCCTCTACTTGTCCCTACCCTCAGCCCACATTCAGCGTCTACCTCAGAAGGTTGAAGCAGGACTTGGATCTATGACAGCAATGAAATAGGGGTGTGTGGGACTCTGTGGTACTTGGCATTTTGGGTGAGGTCTGCATGGGAGGGGCACATCAGAAAGGGATCCCCAGCTGTTCCCAGTCAGTTTGGCCCCAGAGTCCCCTGGTCTGAATAGAGTCTGCTCTTAGGCAAGGACCCACACACTGTTACTGGCTTCCACAGTGCATGGCTTCTTGTCCCAGTCCTTCCTCTCTCTTCCTAGCAGTTGGGACCGAGTCATAAAGACAGCAAGAAGGATATTGCCCCTGCAATAGATAGCCCTTGGCCTTGGCCATGCCTGCCTCATGGATATCAATTTCCTTTCCCCCCTTTTTTTAAATTTAAGTTAGAAACAAGTTTGTTTCACATGTCAATCCCAGCTCCCTTTCCCTCCCCTCCTCCCCATCCCTCCCCACCAGGCCCCGCCCAGTCCCCCACCCAGTCTCCACTCCGATCCCCAGGTAGATCCCTCCATGGTGGCTCTCCAGAGTCTGTCATGTCATCCAGGGTAGGATCTAGACCCTCCTTCAGGAGTCCAGGCTGAGAGAGCATCCCTCATTGTGGGATGGGCACTCATTTCTTTGGTCTCCTTTCACCCATCTTGTGCTGGCTTCTTGTTCTGTGCTGGGCAGATGAGGGAGCCATAGCTCAGAGAGGTTCAGTGGCCTCTCTATGGCCACACGTTGAATGCATATCAGAACTGGCTCTCAGACTTGGGTCCATCTCAGTCCTAGCAGTGTGAGGTCAGGCTTGCTTCACTCCCCACCCCTCTGAGTGTCTCGGCAGAGGTGCCAGCATGGAGAGGGTGAGCTTTCACCATCTGACTCCCAGGGCACACTTGTCCTTAACTGTCCTTCCTATCCCACCCCACATCCCATATCTCCCAGCCTCACAGCGGTGTCTGTTTCTTCAACAAGGTAAATGCAGTTAGACTCATTGTTCCTCACCAATTCTATATTTACCAACTCATCTCTGTACCAAACTCCACGCAACTCTAAAATCACAATTCTCTAAGCTGTTTGTGTCATTGACATACATACGGTAGTGGAGGACCTACTCACGCCAGCATGTGTCCCTTAACTGGGACACCCATTCCCATTCCCAGCTGAGGCAGAACACAGTGATGCTATGCCTCCCGGGTTCAGCTCTCGAGCTGTAAGCAAGCATCCTCTTTGCTATTTATCCAGTGGCATGTGCTTTGCAGTTTTGTGCTTTTTCTTGCCAACTTTGGCCCAAGAACAGTGCTGGCACACTGACTAGACGCCCAAAGCCCGAGAAGGCTGCACTGTGCCTCACTGAGGGCACACGTGCTAGGAGGGGCTTCGTGTATTTGTTCAGGCATGAGCCCAACGCTGCTAGCCATGAGTGCCATGCTGATGGATCAATAGTACAGTAAATACAGCGTCTGAGCAGAAGCACTCACAGAACAAGCTTGTTATTGATGGGTTGATGGAAATGCCATGACCAGGGGCTCACAGGAGCCTCATCTAGTTTCCCCAGGAGCAGTGATTCAGTGTTCCTGGTGATGTAGAGTATAACAATCGTGAATTATGAGGACTGTCTGTAACCCCTCATTTCCTGTTTGTCGTACTTCCACCCATCAGCTCCCTGAGCCAAGGGAACAGACTCCTTCTAGGCCCTATGCAGCTGCTCTCTCAGTCACACCACTCATGGGTCCCTGCTGACTACAGCCACTGCCTTTAGACACAGACCCATGTAAATAAATCTGTCTGGAGCAGGAGATGAGCTAGCTCTCTGAAGGGACAGTGGAATCCAGAGCTGCCACTGTGGCCCAGCACCCATGAGCTCCTGGGACCCAGCACAGCTAGGAGCCACTTTTCATTTCTAACCAGAGAAAGGTACACGTTGGTTTCAACCTCCAGACAGATGTGGAGATGAATAGGGAGGTGAGAAAGGTGTTGAAATGAGTCAGGCTACACAAGTGCCGATTTGCCCAGCAAAGAGGATCGCAGGAGTCTGCTTCTGCAAAGAACACACAGTCCCTACACACGCCTTTTTAGGTGAAAGTCACATAAGTTGTGTTCCAACTTGTGATGGGGGATGTGAGCACCGAGAAGTAACCACTGTAGGCTAAGGGATGCAAGATTGCTAATGTGTTACAGGAAATGTTACAGGAGGCAACTGGTCCCCATCCTCAGCCACATGCAGCAGACCTGAGCATGGCCAGATGCAAGCCCAGATCTCAACTGAAAGAGCAGATGCCACTCAGCTAGTCCCTATATTTGCCATGCAGGAGCGAAGGTTGGGGCTGCCAAATACCCTGCATGCTGGCACTCATCCACCTGAGCTCAGCTCTGCTCTCATCCACTAGGTGATCCTAGGAGACCCTTTGGGGTGGGAGGGGATGGGGGCAATCAATTTCATCATTTGCATAATAAATTTGTTTTGTCTATGAATAATGACAAGGACCAGAAGTAAATAGGTGACAAGGTGCTGCTCAGAGAAGGAGTGTCTGCCTCGAACGCACATGACCCAGGGTTCAATCCCCAATACTACACAAACCCAAACAGGCAAATAGGAAGAAATAAGGATGAAAGGTTTAGCCAGTGTCTGTAAGCCCAGCAGTTCAGACAACCTCACATGCTCAGTGAGTCGGCCACATCCTCAGAGTTTCCTGTCCACAGTATGAATATCACCAGGCTTTGCTCCACCCAGAAAACCATGCATGCCTTCAGCCTGGACTACAAGGTGGTCCAGGAAATCCCTACTTCTGGTTCCCGAAAGAACCCTGGGAGCTAGAATTTTCCATGGCTGTGCAGGATCTGCCTGTTGTCACTGTCCTAGTGTGCTCTCCCATGCTGTGGACACCCGGTATCAGAGAAAAGGGCCTGCTCTCAGAGCTGGGACAGACTCAGGAATGGCAGCATTAAGGCTGGGTAGGAACAGGGATGCTGTGGGAAAACCAAGATCCCGGGACTGGGGAGACGAGGTTGTTGGTAGATTATTCACTGCACATGCATGAAGATCTATTGGATCTGAGTTGGATCTTCAGCACCCGTGTATATCCAAGGTCAGCTGCCTGTAATGCTAGAACTGGGGACACAGAGACAGGAGGAACCCTGGGGCTCACAGGTCAGTCAGTCTACCTGAATCAAGCAAGCTCCAGATTCAGTGAGGGACCACGTGTCAGAAAATAAGAACAACTGAGAAAGATACATGACTTAGATCTCTGGCCAAGGCACACACACACACATGTGTATTCACATGTGCACATACACACACGTGCATGCACGCACACACACACACACACACACACACACACACACATACACAAAAACCAAAACCTCCCAACTTGAATTCTGCAACTCAGTAATACAAGTGAGTGAGTCCTCATGTATAAATAATCATGTATAAAAAGGAGAGGTCAGCTGATGAAATGTTTCTGGTATCCCAGAATGCCTATCTTCGTAGCCCAGCTCTTTCAGCTGTATGAATCTGGGAACGTTACTCAATTTTCCTGGAACCCAGTCTCCTCATCCGTAAAATTGGACAGTAGTATCTATCTGTCGGGTATTGTTTGAGAGTCTCATGAGGTTATGGCGGTTGGCCTCTCCTAAATAAGAAGTATGCAACAGGTACAAAGTAAGAAGTGTCCACTTACAAGGGGCTCCCGCTGAGACCTAAAAGCCCCTCAAATGTGTTCACCCCCACTGGGGGTGAGCTACTTATGTTTTTCTCCACCCCTCCTTCGAGGACCACTGCTCAGTGGTAAAGAGAAGAAATAAGAATGAATCTTCCAGAGCGTTCAAAAGACGATTACACTGAAAGCCCTCTAAGTCCTGGGCTGTGTGCGTTGCTCCACCTGTTAAGGAGTACCTCCCTGTCCCAGAGCACAGATGCTAAGGACCCAGTGTCAGGGTGCTAGAGGTTGAGCTCCCTCCATCCACCTGATCCTCCTGCTTCTACCGCCTCTTTCTAGAAACCTGAGCAACAATAGGATCAAGGAGGTGCGAGAGGGTGCCTTCGATGGAGCAGCAGGCGTACAGGAGCTGATGCTGACGGGGAACCAGCTGGAGACCATGCATGGGCGCATGTTCCGTGGCCTCAGTGGCCTCAAGACACTGTGAGTACCCAGACATGGGCTCAGGTCCAGAGCGGGGAGGCAGGAGGCAGGGAAATGAGGGCTGGACTATCAAGGCTGTGGACAGGGAGCTGAGCCAGGCACCATCCTGGCCTGTGGGTCCCTTCCTCCCTCACAGAATCAGACTTCTCCACCTTTAACGCAAAGAAGCTGACATGCTGAGCCCACCAGCATGCTCACACACCTAAGCACATCCCACTCAGAGCCAGTCTAATGCACTCACGTGCATATTCATATCAGAAATGTACATACTGAGGGATACACACACTCACATACCTATTACTCATACACACGGAAACACATGCTGTGCCCCTAAACACATCTGCAAGCAAGCATCCATGTTCGAGCATATGCACATACACTGAACCCATTTGTGGGTCCTCTTCCTCCTGGAAGTACACATGTGTATACTGACAACCATACCATCTGTACAGGTGCACAGGGATAGCTATGGCTTGTGTTTACAGTGTGGCTTCGTTACTTATCTATTGCTGTGAATAGACACCATGACCAGGGTAACTTTAAAAGAAAGCATGGGGCTTGCTTATTGTTTCAGAGATTGAGTCCATGCCCATAGAGCAGTAACTGAGAACTTAGATCTGATCTACAAGAGGGAGGCAGAAAGAGGGAGGCAGAGAGAGTCGACTAGAATGACATAGACTTCTGAAACCTCAAAGTCTACTCCCAGTGGCACACCTCCTCCAACATGGCTACCTTCCTGACCCTCCCCAAACAGTTCTACCAACTGAGGACCAGGCTTCAAACATAGGAGCCCATGGGGGCCATTTTCATTCAGACCACCGCACAGTGTGTGAAGTACACAATCAAATTGTGTTTGTCCCAGTGAGGGTCAGGCCCTGCTCATCACTACACAAACCTGAACAGTGGCTGGCTGAGCCAAGATGGCTGTGTACCTTTTGAGAGGTAAGAATACTACCCATGACCCTCTCTCACCCTCTTCCATCCAGGATGTTGAGGAGCAACCTGATCAGCTGTGTGAGCAATGACACCTTCACTGGTCTAAGCTCTGTGAGACTGCTGTCGCTCTATGACAATCGGATCACCACCATCACCCCTGGAGCCTTCACCACACTTGTCTCCCTGTCCACTATGTGAGTTCTCCTGGCATGCGGCCTACTTCCTCTGGGCCCCTCCCTGCACAATTCCCTGACATCCCAGCTCCCCACTGACTGTGACCAAGGTCACCTGCCCGTCTGTCTATTTAACAGACATGTGTCAGGCCCTCCCTATGTGCCAGATACCATCTAAGTACTAAGGATTGGAGACCCGGCTCCTCCTCCATGGGGCTCCCCATGGTGAGAAAGCTCTGTGGAGAAGCAGTAGCAAAGATTAGTTTGTTGAAGAAAGTGGAAAATGCATTTCCTTTAGCAGGAACAGCCATGCAAAGACCCTGTGGTTGATAGGAGCAAAGTATATAAGCAAAGCCCAGCAAGGACATTGTACTGAGTATGCAAGGACACTGTGTAAGACAAGATGGAGAGGAGGCCAGAGTCGAGCTGCATGGCCACAGAGGATGCTTTAGTTTTCAAAGCACACCAAGATCACTTGCTGTGCTCAACAGTGGGTTTTAAAAGATGATCCTGGCTACACTGGTATTTGTCAAAGTCAGAGTTGGAGCCCAGCTTTCTAGACCAATAGTGAGCATGCTGCCCAGGGAGTCCGCTGAATTAGGAAGGGGGCAGCATAGGATAGTGATTATGACTGTAGAGCCATGCTTCACAGGTTCAAGCCCCAGCCTCCTCTCATTGGCTGTGGCAGCTTGGGACTGTCTGTTTATCTCAATGCATCCATTCTTCCCCAGCACCATCCACCTCCCATGAGTGCAGTGAGGACTGGCCCTGCTGACAGTGTGAATGCATAGCCAGACCTAAGGACAGCCAGCTCTCAGTATTTGTCCACTTTACAGTCGCTGACCATGCTGCCTTGTGCCTCGGCTGTCCTTAGCGAGCAGTTACCCGTCCCGTCTTCTCCACTCAGAAATGACAAAGCAGAGTAGCAGCCACCGCTGTTCTTGCACCCACTGTCACCTTGCCAATGGAATAGACGTAGGGTTGCAGAGTGGCCTGGGGCCAGCAGTCTAGTTTCTCCCCGTTAGTGAGCCCCTCTGGCCCACCGCCTGAGCCCTCCTGACCTCATGCTTCACACCCTGCCTGAGGACTGTGCGACGGCAACTCCTGGGTTCCACAGCCCAGGAAGCCCCCTTTCATCCGCTCTCTCTCCTCTCCCTTCTTTGGCCACGTGGCCTGCCCCTCCCCTACTCCACCCTGTGCCTCCGTGGCGTGATAGAGGTATTAATTGCTTAGCATGGTCCCAGGCCTCAGACAAGCACTCAGAGTGACAACTGCTACCATCCCTGTCCTCCCCCCATCAGTGTCTCGTGCCACTGCATAGACCATAACAAATTACCTGTGATGCACAGTCCGGCTACTGGCTATGCAGAGGCCAGCAGAGATGCCAGCCTCGCTGAACCCAGTCAGTGTGCAGCTGCTGAAAGTCACAGAACTAACCTTGGTACAGACACCACAGGAAGAAAGTAAGGGGCACACGTCAGCAAAAGGAACAGGCTCAGCTGCCCCAGCCAGGAACACTGACACCGCAGCCCTACAAACTGCAGGCATCTCCGGTGGGAAGGAAGGCATGGACACCGTTCTCAGCTAGAAGAAATTGTCCACAGAGGACTTGCCAGCTTTACCCAAGTGGGGCTTTTTAGACGGAGGAGGCCAAGGCTGTAGGTCGCAACACACCCATTAGCATGGGCTATGGCTGAGGGTCGTTAGACATCCCCTTGATTTAGAGAAAAATTCTGCATCGCTCAGGAAGGGATGCCAAAACCCTATCACTACCCAGGGAGAGCTAGCCTGGGCTATATAGGAGTAGGCTTTCGGCTGGGGTCAAGGAGGACGATGACTACTCAGAGGTTCTCTCTCCCTCAGAAATCTCCTGTCTAACCCTTTTAACTGCAACTGCCACTTGGCCTGGCTCGGCCGGTGGCTGAGGAAGCGCCGCATCGTCAGTGGGAACCCCAGATGCCAGAAGCCCTTTTTCCTCAAGGAGATTCCCATCCAAGACGTGGCCATCCAGGACTTCACCTGCGACGGTAAGAGGGAGTGATCTGGGAAGGCAAGGCAGGCTGCTGAGACCCTGATTCCTCTCTGCCCTCCTGTGCGTGGGCTGTGAGGGACCCTGCTCTAGCCTCGGAGGGTCTGCTGCTGGCCCTCTTCAGAGTATGCACTTAGGGGAAACAGACTTCACGAAAATCCCTTCCATTTGACCAAGAGATGAACCCACAAACCTGAGGCTTTGGGTCTCAGGGCCCCAGAAAGCATATTTGATTGCATGAATTCAAGCCAGTATAGTTCTTTACTCGATGAAAATTTCTTGTTACCTTAAGACAGAGGAATCTGTTTGCAGATTAACTGAGGTGCATTATAACGAGGTTGGTGACGTGCTCACCACCATGTAGGGACGACTACATAGTGGTGGGTGGAGAGGGGAAAGTAGAAAGAGAGGAGGAAACAGACTGGGCTTTACCTCTGTCTGGCTGCTCCTTTGATTTATTCCTCGTGTGATAAGCAGGACCCCTTTCCTATCTGTGGCCATGGGTCTGGGTTAGCAGCTTGACTGGTCTTCATTTCATGCATAGCACAGAAACTGTCACTGCCTGCCCCCCCCCCCGGGTACCCAGACATGCATCCTTCCCCTCCAGCTGTGGAAGAAACCAATAGCTACCTTTAGTTCTGGCTCAGGCTCACTGCTGGGGCTAGGCAGAGGTGGCCCTTGCTGGGAACAGACTGGCCCTGTCAGTCAGCTTTGCCCAGCTGTTCTCCTGGCTTCTACCACGCTCACCCTGTCTGGGTTCTCCACAGGCAATGACGAAAGCAGCTGCCAGCTGAGTCCACGCTGCCCCGAGCAGTGCACCTGTGTAGAGACGGTGGTGCGATGCAGTAACAGGGGGCTCCGTGCCCTCCCCAAAGGCATGCCGAAGGACGTGACTGAACTGTAGGTACCACCCCCAGGCCCCCAGTCTCACCAGCCACATCCTTCCCCTGTGCCCCAGCATCTCAAATGAGGGTGTGGGGACATCCCAGCAGAGCTTTCCTCAGTGGTTGGGAGCTTTGATTGGTGTTGGGGAACCGGGTTGAAGGGGAAGAGGGAGGCCAACTCCAAACCATCTCCACCTGGTAAGAGAGGCATGCCTGACCCTCCTCTCTCTAAAGATACTCCAGAGTGCAAATGGGCTGCCACATTTCTTGCACCCTCCAAAATCCCCTGTGCTATACCCTGCCTTTCTGGACCCTGTGAAGCCTGTGTCTAACCCTGGTGAGAGCACGAGCCTCTTTATGCACAGGAGGGCCTACTTACGACATGATCCCATCCCTCCTTCGAGCATTCCTGTCTTACAAGTGGTGTGCCAGCGCTAAGTTGCACCCGTTCTAGAACATCTTCCCAGCTCAGGTTCCTCACAGTCCCTCCCCAGATCTTGTTCCTGGACCAGAAGCTCCAAGTTAAATGAAACAGGTGCCGTGTTCTTTTTGGAGGACTCACAGTACTTATGCAGCACCCTGTCTGGCTCAGCGGGAGCCAGGCCTAGCTCTCAGTCAGGCTTAGGTGCTCACCATCTGGTGCAGAAGAGCGTCACAGGCTCGCACCGCCTGCCCATGCTCTGTCACGCTGCCCTCCGCCGGGCCGTCATCCCATGGGGATGAGGTGACTCATATGTCAGGCTCGCTGCCAACGTGGAGAGATGACACTTAGGAAAACAGGTGGGCCCAACTCTCATGAGGCTTGAGGTCTCTCGGGGGGGGGGCAAAAGACGTTTGTTCTCTCATCTCTGAAGCTCTTGTGACTCGATGGAGGGTGAAGCAGGAAGGGGGTGCGAGAGAGAGGTTTACCCAGGTGCACTACTCAGAGAAAGCGTCTCTGGGACATGACACTCAGGCTATGAGCTGAAGGGCCAGCCGGGAGCAGGTCCCTAGCAGGGCAGGAGGGGGACAGGCAGAAGCAGCTACGCCAGTGGCGACCCTGTAATGGGACCTGGAAGAGAGCCACGTGAGGGGACTGACAGTGGGTCAGGGTGTCACACCACCACTCACCACTCACACCCACAATGTCACACTCGTGAGTCAGAACTCCGTCCCAGACTCCAGGCCCACTCCCTCTGCTAGGACCATCTGGGCTTGTTTCCTCAGACATAATTGACAGAATGTGGCATGACCCAGATTCCTTCTGGGGAATCTCTCTAGCACCTTCCAGGCCAGTGTCTCCTAGGAGGGCTGTGAGCATGCCAGCCTCTTAGAATGCAAACAGATCCTCGGTGGGACTGTCACTTCTGGCAGTCCCTGATGCTCAGACAGGTTGTCATAGGGACTGGCAGCCCCAGGGAAGGAAAGGAGGTCTGACAGTCACTAAAAGACCCTGTCAGCATAGGTATAGGCTGAGGCTGAGCCCTCGAAAGTCTGGGTGAACAAATACAATGCCGTGTGGTGAGCTGTGTCCGGGGAATGGGAGCAGCAGAAAATGGCCATGGAATGTGTTCCTCCCTGACCAGATGGGTGCCAAATGACATGTCGAAATGCAGAAATGCCATGAGGACAGCTCATGAGTGCTTTCCTCTAAGGTGCAGGACACAGAGACTGAAATAGCAAAAATAATTGGGGCTCCGTACCTTTAGAGGGCCTCTAATTATTTTCTGTGGAAGAGATGGTATCTCCCAGCCAAGCACGACTTCCAGTGTGCTCCAAGAAGCCTCAGTGCTGGTGCTGAACCATCTCCTGGACCAAATGGCGGGAAGGAAGCAGGAAAACGAGGACTCAAGAAAGTGAAAGCCAGTAGGCTTGACACACAGTGCCATGGGCCCCAGCTTGGGACCTTTTATGTTTTTTCAGCACCCGCAAGGACATGTGCTTGTCAGGTACACTGTAATACTGGACACGTAGAAACTAACATGGACCATTTTGAAATAGCTATCTCTTATTCCATCTAAAAATAATTCCATACTTATATAAGAAGTGTGTTGTTGAGACAAACCAGTGATTGACGTGCTGTCTAGTTTGTGCAAATCTTTAATGGCTGGCTTTTCTATTCTGCATCCCCTGCATTGTGCTAGCTGCTTGGGTGAAGCTGCAGGAGAAAGGCCAGCTTCACACAGACATGTGGTTGGAACAGGAAGGAGCATTTTAGGAATCCCTTCCAAAACTGGCGGGTTTTCATCATTGATCACCTACCTCAGGCAGTGGGGTCTTCTGAAAGGGTACCTGCTGCGTGGAACCCACATCCGTATCTGTGAACTTACTTCTTCTGTTACCCTAAACCACACTGGTCTGTTGACCTTGGGTAGTCAGTCTCCCATATTGTCACTTAGATCAGCCCACTGAGTTACACAGGTTGTCCAGGTCAAGACACATTCTGCTGTCCAGTAGGTAAAACTTCATATCAGTGATGTGACCACCTGTCAGTTTCCCATCAGATAAATCTTCATAAGAGGGAACTGTCCCTGAGCGGTGGTGGCGCACACCTTTAATCCCAGTGTTTAGGAGGCAGAGGCAGATGGATCTGTGTGAGTTCGAGGCCAGCCTGGTATACAGAGTGAGTTCCAGGACAGCCAGAGCTACACAGAGAACCCCTGTCATGGGGGGGGAGAGGACGCTATTGAGCTCAGTCCAAGTTTTCAAAAATATTAATATTCATGTGAAAGCCCCAATTCAGTCACTGGCAACAAATACCATCTGTGCTTTGCCCTGGGCCCTGCTCTCTTATTCATTTCCAGAAACTCTAGTAAATGCCTCTGTCTGAGAAACCTCGCCAGTCATTCCTTTAAGTAGAAATAGTGTTTTTCGTGGGACAACCCCAAAGCAGCTAGTTCAGCGAGCACGGGAGTGGGATTTCACTGAGCATTTCATGGGCTGCAGAAATGCTGTGTGTGCTCTGTTCATTTCGTTACACACTTGCTAAAGAAACAAGTGCTGGGGAGGGGGGGCGGACTGTTACTGCTGGTAGTTTTTACTGCCTTGTCAAGGGCAGTCTTAAGTGTGTCTTGCTTTGCTGTTGCAGTTTGCTTTGTAAATATTTTATGTGCAAATGCACACGTAAGTGACAGCACAGTAACTTAGGCCCAGTGCTCTACCTTGAGCTAATGTCCTCTGTTGGTTTTATGACACCAGGGCAAATGTAAGCTGAGTATAGAACGGAGAATGTCGGCCTTTTTCTTTAAGATTTTATTTTATTTTTGAATGATATTTATACGTGGGTTGGGGTGCATGTGCTTGCAGGAGCCCACAGAGATCATGACCAGCAGAGGTTATCAGATCCCCTGGAGGTGAAATGACAAGACAGTTCTGAGCTACTCGGTATGAATGCTGGGAACCAATCTTGGGTCCCCTGCAAGAGTAGTATGCTCTCAAAGTCATTGAGCTATCTCTCCTGCACTGAAAACAATGCTTTTAGATCATTATAAAAACAATTTGGACCTCAGACTTCCTAAAAGTCTCAGGGACACGTAGGTGCCCGTAGTGACACGTGGAGAACCGAAGCAGTTACTACAGCAGCCAGCAAGGAGTATAGGGAGACACCTGTTATAAGGGCATCCAGTTCCTGATTGTAAGGGGGACTATGGTGGTTTGAAAGAAAATGGCCACAAAAGGGAGTGGCACTGTTAGGAGGTGTGGCCTTGTTGGGGAAAGTGTGTCACTCTGGGGGTGGGCTTTGAGTTCTCCTATGATCAAGCTACTCCCAGTGTCACAGATCATTTCCTATTGCCTGCAATAGGACTCTCAGCTCCTTCCCCAATACCATGTCTGCCTGCACACCGCCATGCCCCACCATGATAATGGACCGAACCTTTGAACTGTAAGCAAGACACTCCAATTAAATGCTTTTCCATGGTGTCTCTTCACAGCAGTAGAAACCCTAAGACAGGGACCTATAGGCTCTTCTCAAAATCGGGGCAAAGCATGCCAGCCCCCCAAGTCACTGAGAATCTCTGCCAAAGCAGTACCACCCCACTCACAGAAAAGACAGTGATTGCTCTGCAAATATCTGTTTATCATTGGGCCTGCCTCACTATTCCAGAATAACTGAAGCCTAAAGATGTGTTTTCTTTCATTTACTGGAATGTTAGACAGTGGTTCTCAGCCTTCCTAATGCTGTGACCCTTTAATACAGTTCCTTCTATTGCGGTGACCCCCCCAAACATAAATTATTTTTGTTGTTACTTCATAACTGTAATTTTTCTACTTACTGTTATGAATTGAAAGTAAATATCTGATATTCAGGGTATCTTATATTCAACCCAAAAAAGGGGTCATGACCCCACAGGTTGAGAACCACTGATATAGATTATTCTAGCTTTTTCCTCCTACCCACCTGCTTCCTGTACCATTACCCGCCCTCCTTCGTTTCCCTCATTTTTCTGACCTGGAGAAGCCATTGCTCTTTACTTCCACGAGGCCAGCTGTTTAACTTCCACATGCCAGTGAGAACACGCAGCACTGGACTTTCAAGGCCTGCTTATAGCAGCTTGCCCAACAGCCGCAGAGCACAGATCTAAGCCCTTTCTCTCTGCCCCACCACAGTGTGCAGGCCCATCCCTTTCCTGCCGCCTGGTGACCAGTTTCCTGGGGTTTTGCAGCATCCAGCCATGTGGGTCACCTGCATTGGCCGGAAAAGACAGACCAGGAGCTCTGCCATCATTGTTTGGGCACTGCCTGTGTTCTGTCCAGTCCATGCAACTGGGATACATCTTCATGCCTCCTGCTGGGCTTGCTTTCCCAGCACTGAATGGAGTCACAGCCCAGCCTGCCTGTATTCTTTGACTCTCCGTTAGTTAGGGTTCCTATTGCTGCGATGAAAGCACATGACCAAAAAGCAAGTTGTGAAGTAAAGGATTTATTTGGCTTATATATACTTCAACTTCATTCATCACCCAGAAATCGGGGCAGGAAACCAAAAAGGGCAGAAACCTGGCGACAGGAGCTGATGCAGAGGTCATGGAGAGGTGCTTC